ATATATATGGCATATATATAACATATATATGGCAGGTCTATTTCTTGGTCCTTTATGTTGTTCCATCTCTACACCAACACCACAGTGTATTCATTCCTAAAGCTTTGGATAATAAGTCTTGAAATCTCAAAAAGCATCCTCCCTCCCTGGTTCTTTTATTCAGATATATTTTGCCTATTATGGGCCCATTTCCCTTCCGTATATGTTTTAGAATGGTGTTTCCAATTTTTTTGTGGCTCTCGGTCATCCCCAGTGCATATTGCTACTGTCTCTATGTTAAAGGAACATTCTCAGTTCTTACTGTGGGGCTTCAGATGTCAGGCAACAGCCTGGCTGAACATCCATGACTTATAAGGTCCTGGGGAAGGTAGTTGAGAGGTTTCAGAGTCAAGACCAACATTGCCCTTATATACTATAAACCTGTTTATTTATTTTTTTTAAGATTTTATTTATTTATTCATGAGAGACAGAGAGAGAGAGAGGCAGAGGCAGAGGGAGAAGCAGGCTCCCCGCCGAGCAGGGAGCCTGATGCGGGACTTGATCCCAGGACCCTGGGATCATGACCCGAACCGAAGGCAAACGCTTAACCGACTGAGCCACCCAGGTGTCCCTACTATAAACCTGTTTAAGGTAAAACCCAAGACCCTTGCCCTAGAGATGGTTCTTGACTCCATCAGAAGGGCCACAGCCATTAATAAACAAACCTGTTTTGGTTAAACTTTTGGGTTTAACATTTAGAAAGTTGTAAACATCATCATGTCTTCCCTTCATCCTGACCCAGATTGGCTTCTTCCAAAGCAAATCAAGGTCACAGTGCTATTCTCTGCATGTTGTGCAAATTAAATTAGGTTTGTTAGGATTCCTTAAATAGCTACAGTGTAGCACAAAACACAAACTTGAATTAAATGACAGAGACCATACGTGTAAGAGGATGGAGACCCAGAGAGGGTCTTCAACCAGCCCAAAGTCATATAGTCTGAAAAGCTACTCAAGTATTTTTGCCTTCTGTCCAGTTCCAAATCTTTCTCCTCTACATTGGGGGTCAGCAAACGTTTTCTGGAGAGTCAAATAGTAAATATTTAGGCTTGTGAGGCAAGAGGCAATGTCCTCAACATTCTGGCAACCGTTCTCCTGGAAAGGCTAATAGTCTTTTTACATCTGAAGATGTAAAACCATTCTTAGCTTGAGGTCCAGACAAAAATAGTGGACAAGATGTGCCCCACAGGCTGTATTCCCCCCGCCGCCCCCCCACTCTAATCCACACCTAAGAGATGAAAACTCTTGTTTCTGCCCTTTTGGTGATAAGGAGCACATGAAAACAAAGTCAAAGCCCCAAAGTAACAAAGATTCTGATTGTGTGTTAGAAGCAAGCACAGGTGAAACACTGTTCCCAGACAGAAACTTAGTTCTGTACTGTATATATGTGAGCATCCATTCTGAAGATGGCTTAAGTCATTTGAAATCTGGTTCATTTTAGCTTCCACACATTGAGAAGTCTGTATGCCTCAGGGACTCATTGGTACCAAACCACAAAATTAGGAATAGAAATTGATGTGAGATTTCTTCATCACCTGGTAAAATATCATGCATGTGTATTACAATCCCTTAAATATGCACAAAGGGACAACAGGGTTATTAATATATATCATACTTTTCCTTCATTTAAAGATTAAAAGGTTGTATTGAGTAATTCTTAGAGTTTCTTCAAACCCAAGTATATTATAACTACGAGTATATAGACATGCCAATAGTATTTCTACTGTTCTACTAGAGATGTCTTCTTTGATGGGGATTATTTTGTTTGTATTTTCTGTGGCTTAGACAAAAGTTGTCTCTCACACATTTTAAAGGAAGATGTGTTTTCACGACAGCTTAACGTCAGAAACTTTTCTCTGTTTCTTGCTGTAAATCCAGATCCCTATAGAGTGTGTCCAGGGTTGTGTCTTTTTTCATTTTTTATTCCTTAAGCCGGAGTCTATAAAAACACTTGACAATCATATCTCTAGGCATACAACTGGCTTTCCATTCTTCAAATACCTGTTCGTTATTATAGGCACTGGCTGTGTAAGGTGAAAAACATTTCAAAGATTTGTGTGTGGAGAACTTGAGACTCACTGCTGAGTCCTTTGAAATATAGTTGCTAGGTATGTTCACTTCCTTCCCATTTATTCATATTCTGAAGAGGCTTTTTGTAAACTCATAGGGCTCTGTAGTCTGGGTGTCTGCTTTAAGAACTTTCTTATCACATCATTACCTACAAAAGACGCTATTTATCAACTCCACAAAAATGAAAAGTGTACCTGAAAATATTTTTCAGACTGACTCATTCTTGAATGTCTGAAACTTTTATTGGGTTTTTTTTGTTTGTTTGTTTAATTGGCTTAGAATGTAGGATTGAAACGAGAAAGTAACATAAACTAAACCTAAAATAGACTTTTCTCAGCAAAGCATTTTTGTTTTGCATTTTTGTGGATAGGTCACCAATCTACCATTCCCTCATCATTATTATGATTTCCTTTTAAAAAAAAATGAAAATGTTATGATTGTTTTTTCTTCCTGATTGTGAAATAATGTAGATGCCAAAGTTATAAGATAATTCAAGGAAGTAAAAAGTCAAATTTGAAAGACACCTTAATTCCACCACTAGAAAGAACCATTTTTTAAAAAGATTTTATTTATTTGAGAGAGAGAGAGAGAGAGAGAGAGAGGAAAGGGGCATCGGGAGAGAATCCTCAAGCAGACTCCCTATTCAGCACAGAGCCCAATGCAGGCCTCGATCCCAGGACCCTGAGATCACAACCTGAGCCAAAGTGAGATGCTTAACAGACTGAGCCACCCAGGTGCCCCAGAGATAACCATTTTTAACTATTCTATGTATATACTTCCAGACATACTACTGTGCATACACATATGTGTTTCTTTTTTTTTAAAGATTTTATTTATTTATTTGACAGAGAGAGACACAGTGAGAGAGGGAACACAAGCAGGGGGAGTGGCAGAGGGAGAAGCAGGCTTCCCGCTGAGCAGGGAGCCCGATGTGGGGCTCGATCCCAGGACCCTGGGACCACGACCTGAGCCGAAGGCAGATGCTTAACGACTGAGCCAGCCAGGTGCCCCCACATATGTGTTTCATACAAAACTATGATCATACTGTTTAGCAGTATATTTTCGTCACTTAGTGTCATATCTTCTCTCCAAGGTAAAACACCTGGATCTGCCTCATCTTTCTAGACAGCTCCATAATATTCCACTGTATTGATATGCCCTAATGTACACAACTGAGTCCTTAAGAAATCTTGTCTGTCTTATGGGCACACTTATATTCCCTCAGCTTTTCCTAGCATCATATGTGTGGGTATGCATCTCATGACCTTGGCTTTCAATGACAGATGTTTTGATATTAAAAATTTAATTATGGGGTGCATGGGTGGTTCAGTCAGTTAAGCGTCTGACTTAAGCTCAGGTCATGATCTCAGGGTCCTGGGATTGAGTCCCACGTTGGGCTCCACACTCAGCGGGGAGTCTGCTTCTCCCTCCCCTTCTCTCTCTGCCCCTTCTCCTGCTAGTGCTCACGCTCTCTCTCTCAAATAAATAAATAAATAAATAAATAAATAAGATCTTTAAAAAAATTGAATGATGACAAAACAAGTAAGAGGGTGTTTACGTGTTGCAGCATGGATGAACCTTGAGGGCATTATGCTCATTACATATGCCAAAAGACAAATAATGCATGATTGCACTGGTATGGAGTACCTAGAGTAGTCAAATTCATTGAGAAAGAAGGAATGGTGGTTGTTACACGCTGCGGGGAGGGGAAATGGGGAGTTGTTTAATGGGAACAGAATTTCAATTTTGCAAAATGAAAAGAATTCTGGAGATGGGTCACACAACAATGCAAATGTACTTAACACTATTGAACTGCACACATAAAAATGGTTATGATTAATTTTATGTTATGAATATGTACCACAAAAAGTTTTTTAAATAAGAGGATGTTTAAATATGACTGTATATATTGTATTGTAACTATTTACTTATTCATTATATAAACACATCATTACCTAACGATTTCAATTATCTAGAAGATAAACAAAAACCAGAACAATGCTACAAATCTCCTGAACTTTATCATTGAGGCCCTCAAACCTTACCCAGAGTCTTTTTATTCTGAATTTATAAGCAATTCTACCAAACTTTAGTTACCTGATTTCTTAATTAATAGCATGTATGAAACAGAATGTGGGGCAAGGTACAGACAGTTACAGGCAGGAATTCAAGAGTAGAAAGAAGGAAAAGCAGAATGCCTAATGAAAAAAGTCTCCCTCAAAAGAAAAAGAAAAGCATATTTAACAACTGAAACCATATACCATTCTGCAATCAAATGATATAGATGCAAATATCTCAATACATGCAATAGCATCACTCAGCAAATATTTCTTCATCATCAGTTGGGTGCCAAGAATCCACTGGGGCACAAAAGTGTTGACAGTGACAGCAATAATGTTTAGAAAGGGAGGATTATGTCACTTACAGTCTATTTACAAAGGCAAAAGACCCTGAACTACAATGACAGTTGATCAAAGATTGGGTACTTTAGGGGTAAACTTCAGTTATCTAGAAATTGTATTTCTTAGAATGTTTCATGTTTCGCAACAGCCTTGGGCCCAAATGAGACTCTTGTTCAACAATCGTATATGGATTAGTGACTTTATCTATTGACGCTGATTTCAATCAACTTTTGTAAACAAGCCATTTGTAAGCATGTTATTCACCAAGCGACAAGTGTGCACATTATGAAGTCATATTTGCTGGTTTTAAACATTTGCAATAACTTCATTTTTTTAATTTTGAAATTGTTTTAATTTACAAATACAAACACCTTGGAAGACAAAAAAAATGAAAGAAAAACACAAAACATAGGCAAATTTTTACTCCATGAGCTTCTCAAATCCTCACTTATTCACCAATCCCCAAGATGAAAAACTCTTCTAAAAAGGTATTCAGCCGCCAACAATGATGTTATTAATAGGGATATGGATCAATTTCACAAAAAAGCCAATGAATCCCATTATAGCAAATCCTATTGCTGTTGCCATGGCAATCTTCCGGAATTCTTTTCTGTCAGGTTTAGTGCATCTTTTAACCAGCCGAATTGAGTCCTTCACAAACTGCCGACTTGGCTCAACAAACTGCATTACCTGATCCATGATGCCTGCCAGCCAACGGCTCAGACACCAGCGACATGTAGCACAAAAACGAACTGACCTCTGCAATAACTTCATTTTAATCACCCTGTTTTCTTGGCTCTGTTTTATTTGGGTATTTGTGCCAATAACCACAGTTCATAGGTTTGGGTTATAGAAAACCTGACACAGGACAGAAAAAAATAATGCTGGGTATACCATCAATACATAATGGTTAATTTAGGGGTCTTCCTCTCTTTTTCTAGGAACATTGCAAATTGTGAGAATCATCTGTATGTTATCTAGGAGTTTATTTACCACATGAAGATTCAGAAATAAAATGTGTGGTTTTAGCAAGTGAATTCGGTAGTAGAGATAATGACTCAGAAGAAATGTGCTCATACAGAATCCTTGGTTGCCATAGTCTCTGATGGGACCTCAGTATTTTTCTTTGGAGATAAAGTATTAAAATTTAGAGGCCTGTGGGTACCTGGGTGACTCAGTCGGTGAAGCATCTGCCTTCAGCTCAGGTCATGACCCCAAGGTCCTGGGATCGAGTCCCGCACATCAGGTTCCCTGCTCAGCAGGGAGTCTGCTTCTCCCTCTTCCTCCGCCCCTTGCCCTGCTTGTGCACCCTCTCTCTCGCTCTCACTCAAATAAATAAATAAAAATCCTTAAAAAAAAATTTAGAGGCCTGAAAGTTAAACATTATTTGGGACATTACTGGCTTTGCTCGTTCGGTGGTGCAGAATGTTCCTCCAAACAAGACCATGCTTGCTTGCGGGAGGGCTGAAGATACTCTCAACACTGCTGTGATATTCATATTCAAACTTCCAGAATTAATGACTTTGGAAATACCTGAATGTGACTGAATACCAACATTGTATAAAGACTATGCACGGCACCTGTCCCTGCTGCCGCCGCGAGTCCTTAGCTACCAAAGTCTTATCAAAGGATAGCTGCACCGTTGTCTAGGTGTGTGCAGGCACATGCGTGCGTGTGCGTGTGCGTGCGTGTGCGTGTGTGTGTAGGCACGTGTGTGCGCGTGCGCGCGCGTGTGCGCGTGTGTAGGCACGTGTGTGCGCGTGCGTGCGCGCGCGTGTGCGTGCGTGTGTAGGCACATGCGCGTGTGCGTGCGTGTGCGTGCGTGTGCGTGTGTGTGTGTGTGTGTGTATAAATCTTTTGAATTTGCCAGAATGGCTAACCCTTTCCTTAGGGTTTTCTAAATACAGTTGCACATTTGAAAAGATGTCACGTAAAAGTCAAAGTTCTGCATTTTTTTATTGGGATATGATACTGATTACATCTCTGTCTTAAGAAAACTAATTTAAATATGCTTTTGTTGTTCTTTCTGTAGTCTTCTTTCCAAAACTAACAGTGAAGCAAGCTATCTAGATGCTGCTCTGTTGATCCAAGTCCAACAATCAAACTCTATTTTAGCAACAACAAACACTATTTTTAATATGAAGAGCAAAGCAGATACTAGGGAAGTGTCAAAATACAATCATCTTCATAGAGCTCCAAAAGATATCCAATGCTTAACGTTTAGAAATTTAGTGACCAGGATCTCAATTGCTTTGAATTCTAAATTTTTATTTTCGCCTACTTTTCCTTTTTATTCTAAAATAGGGAATTAATAAAAACTCCGTTTTTCATATTCTTTTGTATCCTTCCAAAACAGATGTCACCATCGTGCAGAATTTCCCTTCTATCGATCTAAAATAAAAGCATGGAATGAAGTTTCTGTCCCCTGACCCGTTATTTCTACCTTATCTTTGCCTTTTCCACTCCCTGTGCTTTGAGGCTCATGCCCTTTACCTTCTCCTAATCCCTCCTACTTGTAATACTACACTATTCCAGCTAAAGCATTTCTTTTTTCCCAGTGCAGATCCTAAGGATTCTGGATAATTCTCCCCTGGCTTTCTCGTCTACCTGCTCCTATGGTTTTTATTTACTTGGCATTAGTCATCTGGATGAGAAGAAAAAATTCGGTCAATCATTAAAATGTCTAAAATATCCAAATGTTTATTTTTTCTGGAGACATAGCTTACACTTTCTTATTTATTTTTGTATGCTGTCTCACTCCAGCTGTCATCATCATATTTATATGCTTATCTCTCCATAGTCTGTTTTCAGTCCCATGGAGCATTATTGTCTTATTCTTGACATGTGCCCAGTTTCACTTTTAACTTCATTTTGTTGCTTTAATAATAGTAATCTATCTTATATAGTTATATAAATTATGCCTACCAACTTGATATATTTAGTACCCGGTAAGCTATTTATTCATAGGGTCAACATTTATTGAACATCTACTATTAGCGACTATCACTCCAGTGCTATATAGGAGTATCCTGTCCTTTGAGATTTAAAACTACTCGAAATTCTTTGAATACCATCTCAAATCCATGGGAAATCCAAATTCTGCCCAAGATTTCTGCAAATTCCCTGGGGCCTGCATTCTCTTGGTAGCTTCTCCTGATTTCCTGTACTTGCTAAAAATTGAATCGCACCAACATCTCAATTTCCACAATTATTCTTTCACTTGTAGACCAGAGCAGGACAGTGTGCTGCTTGTCCAGTTTTCCCAGGATAAGGCAGTTTTTTACAGAACAAACTTTATTGAAGATTCAGAGACAAGACAGGGGACTTCAACCATATTTGTAATGTGCTATTTCTTACGCTGCGGGGTAGGTGAAAGGGTATTTGTTACATTTCTCTTTATACCTTTCCATATATATCCCATATATATGGACCCCCCCCACCCCCACCACTCAGGTTCGTCTTGAGGGCCTCGTTTTTTAATCAAACAAGCCCGGATGTCATGTGACACAGCTAAGCCGAATTTCCCCCTGGGAGAACAGTTCTCTTCCTCCCCTGTTCTGTAAACTCTCCCCTCTCCTAGGAACGTAGAGATGACTATGTTCATAGTCATATGAACTATGACTAGTTCTTATGAGAAGCTTTGTTAGATGATGAAGAAACAAATAATTACAATGCAATTAGATACGTGTTATAAGAGCAGTTATGCCCAAAACAGAGGAAAGAACAAGTAACTACCTAGAGGATTTAGGGAGGTAGTCTTCTGGAAAGAGGTAACCTTTGAGCTTCTCCAGAATGAGCACAACTTAGCCAAGCAAAGTAAGGGGTATTGAGAGGTGGGCATTCAGGCCAAAGGACCATGTGGAAAATCCCAGGAATGCAAAAGAGAGCTCGGGGTGACCAGTGGCCTCTGAGCCTGGGGAAATAGGGGGGACCAGAATACAAAGAGCCTCATACGTCACGCTGATGAGTTTAGACTTGGCACTGCCAGCCGTAAGAAATGAGCAAACAATTTTTATCAGGGGAGTGACATATTACAATTTGGGAAATTTATTTATGGTTGATAATTAATCCTAACTTCTATTTTTAAAAAGAAATACTGTTTCCTTATTTCATAAATACCACAGATGTAAGTGTAATAGTTTTCCGGATGAGTCTCCATTTCTGTTTAATGCTCAAGAGGTAAAGTTGATTCTCAAAGTGTGGTCTGGGGAATCCCTGCAACCCAGTCTCCTGGGCTATTCTCTAGACTTGGGGTCCTGAAGAAATTAAGACTACTGAGGGCCCCAGATAGTTTTTGTATACTAGTGGATGAGAACCACTATCCAACTTTCAGTTGGAATACCATGAAACTAAACAGAGAGATTTTTCTTGATCACAATTTGATTTGAACTACTGCCATCAAAAAAGCATGTTAGTCATAACAAATGCAACAAAAACACCCCAAACATTTCTATAGTTTGTTTTAAAAAGCAAATTCGGGATATCAGATTCTCTCCTTATCCTTTATAGAGATTTTATGTTTGTGATTTGTTGGCTTATGTCCTGCCCCAATCAAAGTGTTAGGTAGATAGCATTTACTGTCCTCCGGGCTTAGGGAGAAGACAGTTTCACGATAGTGGCCAGCGCGAGCCAGGAATGGAGCCCCAGCCCAATTCAGCCATAAAGAATTATTCTTCTCTAATGTGGCCACAGCTGAGATAAAGCCCACGGGTTTGTGGGCCCTACCTCTCCAATCTAGCCTGGGCAGTGGGCAGGAGAACTAGCATGTATAATGGCCTCTCTGCTTGGAAGTTTGCCAGTCTCCCTAAAATGTAGTCAGCTCCTCCGCCCAAGAGAAAAGGAGACGTTCTGGGCTCCACATAAAATCTGGACCAAACTTGATCTCAGTATGAGACAGATAAACCCTAAGGCCTCTTGCAGTCTTAACAGCATATGACTTGGAACAACAGAGAGTGTAAGTCCCCCACCCCACCACTAGCAAGTGGTAGGTCAGGCAACCTCCAGCACTGACTTTCTTCACCATCAGAGAATCAACTGAAGGTGAGGTGTCTTCATCAAGTGATTGAATCATTTTTCTTTAAAATTTTCCTATGTTTATTCTTACTGTGTTTTTTTTTCTACCAGGAAGTCAAAGCTAGATTGGTGATTTTCCAAATTGGAGAAAAACATCACTGAAGATGAACTTAGAACGCTTCTTAGGTTGAGAAAACAATACGTTGTTAGACTTCAAATGTGAAATTAACAGGAAATTTTCTGGTTTTGAGATGAACTTTCTTCTTTATTGTGAATTTTGAGCAGAGTAAAAAAATACAGATAGTAAATAATAATAATAAAATACTTGTAGTATTAAAAGACTTGGAACAAAAGCAAAGTCCCCCTCCAGCCTACCCTCCCCCACATCCCCCTCCAAAGAGGCAACCGCTTTTAAATCTTCCAGCTATTTCTTCCACTTATTTACTTCCATATTTCTGAAAAACAGGCTCATAGGAGTTATTTTAACACTACTGACTTGCAGCTCAGTAGGTGAGGACACTTCTGTGACCTACAACCCTCCTTTTCCTCAAATGTTCCCAACATGCTTAGATCAAAACTTTTGGTTAAATCAGTAGTATATGTTTTGGAAAGTATGTTCATTGCTAAGCCACTGCTTTTCATATCTGTGAACTTTCTTGGACAAACTTTTGTTTTTCCTGAAGCTT